ATGCAAATGGTGTTGTGCTGCATGGATGAGACCTAGGCCCCTTCTAGACAACTGAATAAAATCCCACGTTACCTGCTTTGAACTGGGATATATGGCAGTGTGGACTCAGACATTCCAGTTCAAAGCAGACATTGTGGGTTATTCTGCCTTGATATTCTGAGTTATGTGGCTGTGTGGAAGGGCCTTTTCACATAAAAGTTTCACATGTGTCAGGCTGACTGCTTTAGCACACTGTGGACAACATCCTGAGAATGAAAAATAGCAATTTTTCTTGGAATATCTGTACACTGAAACCACAAATCCAGATCAACAAGCTGTGCAGCTTGTAAGTTTCCCACATTTATCTTCATTAGTCAGAAGAGTAGGAAGAAAGCCGGCATGGTGTATCACTGCCAAATACAGAGCTGAATCACATCTTGAGTCTGTGTTCACCTCGGGATATATAAGTGACAGGTAGGAGTTAAATTCCAACATCTGGGGGGCCACATGTTTTCCACCCCTTCAGGTTCCCATGTGCTTCATTCATGCCATTATATCTGAGAGGGAGCAGAAAAATTAAATAATGTTTTCAATACATTTCAGTGTTATTTTACTCCATATTAGGGCTGCAGGTGTATAGTGATGTCACAATTGGCTCCTAGATAAACTGAAAGCTAAGTAGAACTGAATTTTGGCAAAATGTTGTAACCCAAAGTCCCAAATAGGCAATACTTCCAAGTCTAGGAACTATTCCATGTGTACTTACCTGGGAATCAATCCCACTGGAACTTACTTGTAAGCAGATAGGTGCAAAATTATGTACAGATTAGCCATCCCCTGCCACATGTTGCTGTGGCCCAGTCTGGTGATCTGGAAAATAAAGTAATGAGAAAGCATTGGTTTCAAATATATGGAATTTCTTTATTTTTGTGGGTAAACAGTCTTTCTTGCTGTTTCTTTGTCAGTGTTGATGTGGAGATTGTCTGGTTTGCCTACTCTGGAATATGCAACATATAATTGTCACTTTTTAGGGGTCCCTTTCAAATCTCTTTCTGTGTGTTTGAATTATCTATATAAATAAAAATGTAATGTTTGTTTGTGGGATTAACATAACTCAAAAACCACTGGACGAATTGACACCAAATTTGGACACAAGACACCTCTCAGGCCAACAAGTGACCATCACTCATAAAAACACTGAAAAACACAGCAGAAGAGACTTAAAAAGCCCAAAACCCCAAAAAAATTACAACGCACACGCAAAACCACATATATATATGCAAGCACACATATATACACACATATATGCATACACACACACACAACACATACACAGAAAGTAGGTAGGAAGGAAGGAAGGAAGGAAGGAAGGAAGGAAGGAAGGAAGGAAGGAAGGAGAGAAGGAGGGAAGGAGTTAAAGAAGGAAAGAAGGGTAGAGAAGGAAGGAAGGAGAGAAAGAGGGAAATAAGGAGGGAAGGAGAGAAGGAGAGAAGGAAAGAAAGAAAGGTAGAGAAGAAGGAGAGAAGGAGAGGAAAGAGGGAAAGAAGGAGGAGGGAAGGAAAGAAAGAAAGAAAGAAAGGTAGAGAAGGAAGGGAGGAAAGGAGGGAAATGAAATAAGTGAAATAAAGAAGGGTAGAGAAGGAGGGAGGGAATGAAATACATGAAAGAGGGAAGGAAGGAGAGAAGGAATGAAAGAGAGAGAGGGAGGAAGGGAGGGAAGGAAGGAAGGAAAGAAACAAGGAAGGATGGAACCAAAGAGCAAAGGAAGCGAGAAAAGAAACAGGTAGAGAAGGAAGAAAGAAGAAGGGAAAGAAAAAGAGGGAAGGAAGGAAAGAGGAAGGGAAGGAAGGAGAGAAAGAAAGAAGGAGAGAAAGAGGGAGGGAAGGTTGGCCACAGCAATGCATGGTGGGTACTGCTAGTATATATCTATATCTATAGCTGGATGGCTCTTTGTCAGTAGGGCTTTGATTATGTTATCTTGCCCTGGTGAAGGGAGTTGGACTGGATGGCCTTAAATATTTTCTGTTGGTCATAGGGATTCTGTATGGGAAGTTTGCCCCAATTCTGTCATTGGTGGGCTTCAGAATGCTCTTGGATTGTAGGTGAACTGTAAACCCCAGCAACTACACCCCCCAAATGTCAAGGTCTATTTCCCACAAAATTCCATCTGTGTCCATATTTGGGCATATGGAATATTCATGCCAAGTTTGGTCCAGATCCATCATTGTTTGAGTCCACAATGCTCTCTGGATGTAGGTGAACTACAACTCCCAAACTCAAGGTCAATGCCCACCAAACCCTTCTAGTGTTTTCTGTTGGTCATGGGAGTCCTGTGTACCAAGTTTGGTTCAATTCCATCATTGGTGGAGTTCAGAATGCTCTTTGATTGTAGGTTAACTATAAATCCCAGCAACTACAACTCCCAAATGACAAAATCAATTTTTTGGGTGATGGTCACTCCTTGGGTTAGTAGGTGTCTTGTGGCCAAATTTGGTGGCAATTCATCCAGTGGTTTTTGAGTTCTGTTAATCCCACAAACAAACATTACATTTTTATTTATATAGACTAGACGTCCCCTACCATGCATTGCTGTGGCCCATTCTGTGTATATGTGTTTTCTGTTTGTATATATGTGTGTATATATTTGTGTATATGTGCATATGTGTGTTTGCATATATATGTGTGTGTGTGTTGTGTGGTTTTGCGCATGCGTTGTAATGTATTTTTTATTTTGTGGCTTTTTAAGTCTCTTCTGCTGTGTTTTTCAGTGTTTTTATGAGTGACTAGCCATCTCCTGCCACGCGTTGCTGTGGCTCACATGGGGGTTCTGTGTGGGAGGTTTGGCCCAATTCTATCGTTGGTGGGGTTCAGAATGCTCTTGATTGTAGGTGAACTATAAATCCCAGCAACTACAACTCCCAAATGTCAAGATTCTATTTTCCCCAAACTCCACCAGTGTTCACATTTGGGCATATGAGTCTTCATGTAGAGTTTGGTCCAGACCCATCATTGTTTGAGTTCACAGTGATCTGGATGTAGGTGAACTACAACTCCAAAACCAAAGGACACTGCCCACCAAACCCTTCCAGTATTTTCTGTTGGTCATGGGAGAACTGTGTGCAAGTTTGGTTCAATTCCATCGTTGGTGGGGTTCAGAATGCTCTTTGATTGTAGGTGAACTATAAATCCCAGCAACTACAACTCCCAAATGACAAAATCAAATTTTTTGAGTGAAGGACATACATTGGGTTGTTAGGTGTCTTGTGTCCAAATTTGGTGTCAATTTCCAGTGGTTTTTGAGTTCTGTTAATCCCACAAACAAACATTACATTTTTATTTATATAGATAGTCCATCATTGGCCTGATAGGTATATGGTGTCCAAATTAGGTGTTAATTTGTCCAGTGGTTTTTGAGTTCTGTTAATCCCACAAACGAACATTACATTTTTATTTATATAGATCAGGGGTCCTCAAACTTTTTGAACAGAGGGCCGGGTGACAGGCCCTCAAACTGTTGGAGGGCCGGATTATAATTTGAAAAAAAAGAATGAATGCCTATGCAGACTGCACATATCTTATTTGCAGTGCAACCCCCCCCCCCCCCCCCACACACACACACACACTTAAAATATAAACTTAGGGAGGTGGTGGGCGAAGCGGCCCCAAAGCTGCTTTGCCTGCCACCTCCCCCTCTTCTCCTCCTTCAGGATGAGGCCAGACCTCGTCCTGAAGGAAGGAGAAGAGCAGGCTGGGCCTGGGGAGGCAGTGGGCGGCCCCGAAGCTGCTTCGCCCACCGCCTCCCCTTCTTCTCCTCCCTTCAGGATGAGGCCAGACCTCATCCTGAAGGGAGGAGAAGAGCAGGCTGGACCTAGGGAGGAGGATGGGCGAAGTGGCCCCAAAGCTGCTTCGCCCGCCGCCTCTTCCTCTTCTCCTCCCTTCAGGATGAGGTGAGGCCCCATCCCAAAGGCAGGAGAAGAGCAGGCTGGGCCCAGGGAGGCAGCGGGCACCTTGCGGGCCGGAGAAATGCCCTCGGGGGGCGGACCCAGCCCGCGGGCCATAGTTTGAGGACCCCTGATATAGATAGTCCATCATTGGCCTGATAGGTGTATGGTGTCCAAATTAGGTGTTAATTTGTCCAGTGGTTTTTGAGTTCTGTTAATCCAACAAATGCACATTACATTTTTATTTATAGAGATTGTGTCAATGTTAGATGGTGCTGAAATTTAGTTGGTGAATTCTCCACACCAGATGTTTATGATGCTTGTTGGGGGAGAAACTTTGCTCATCCTAATCAGAAGGCTTAAAGGCACCCCAACTGTGAGTGAGCCATTATTTTCCCAGGATAATCATATCTGTCCATGCAATAAAAGACTTAAGCTGTTGAAGAAAAGAATAGTTTACACTTTTAACTGGTGACTATTGGACAAACAAGCTGGGCTTAGTCCTCTGTCTAATGAATAGGTGCAATAAAATGTTTGTGTCAGACAGAAAATCACCACGGGCTTGCCCCACGGTATTGCAATGGGATATAGAACAATAAATCTTTTGGCAGTCCTTGTTTAAGGGATGACGGTTTGCTTGCTCTGCCTTCCCGGGCTATTTGCAGAAGCCCAACGAGCTCACCGTTGTTGTCCACTCTGTAAAGAGATGATGACATCAAGAGGCCAGGTCACAAACATGAGTTTATAGGTGTTACCCTTTACTTTGCAACATGGGGAGGAGAGAAGGGATAATTTCAGTATGATCTTCTGACCCCCTCCCCAACAAGTTTACAGCCTTCTCTCTTTTTCTTTCTCTGCTTCATAGCACCTCATCAGCCTGGAGTTAATCATTTCTCTGTCCTTATCAGTCAGGAGTTCTTATCTCTCTCTCTTTTTTTTCTTTTTGCTGTCATTTTATAACAGGGTCTTCTTATCAACTTGGGTGGAATCATGTGGCCAAGCCAAGCCTATCCCAGCTCTCGATTCTTCTGATTAGAGACCATCGTGAAACGCTATGGCTGGTTTACCGAGGGTCACTAATGCTGGAAAGGGGACAGAGTCCATTGAAAGAGAGCCCTGTTACTTTCTGAATTGTTGGATGTGTGTGTGTGCGCGCTCACACACACATGCTGTTGATGGGCTACTCCCTGACTTTCACTGAAGGTTACTGTAGCCTCTATCCCAAGGCCAGAGAAGTTTACAAGACTCACCTTTTGCTGCGCTCAATGCTGTATACCTGTAACCAAAGGGCACTATATATTTCCGCTTAATTATGTCTTCTGCTTCGGATACCAGTAACACGCCGGAACCTATAAAACATGGGCTTCTTCCAAGCGGTAAGTAAAAAACTTTTTTTCTTACCCTTTGGATAATGATGCTTCGGTGAATCAAAGTTGAGCCGTGTCATACTAAAATCACACTTCACACTAATTATATCATTTATGCTTTGAAAGTAAATATATGTATATATAAATTGTAAGCAAATCGAAAACCACAAAGAAAAAGACACTGAAAAGTGAATTAGTGAGATTTTCTACAGATGTCGTATATTTATTTACATCACGATGTAACCCATATGAAGTACTTTGAAGTTCCGTTTCTTTCAATCATGTGCTTATATCTCTTGCGTTGAGTAAGCAAGTGTTTTAACTGAAACTAAATTATGCCTATCAAGAGAATTGTAAAATGCTGATGTAAAAAACAGACACTTTTGATTATGACATTTGTGTAATGTATTTTCAGTGGTGTAGGGATAGACTGAAAATTAGACCCCTTCCACACAGCTGTACAAAATTCACATTGAACTGGATTATGTGGCAATGTGGGCTCAGATCACCCAGTTCAAAGTAGATATTGTGGATTATCTGCCTTGATATTCTGGGTGACCTTCCAGACAGGCACTATAACCCAGAATCTGATCCTGGATATTATTATTATTATTATTATTATTATTATTATTATTATTATTATCTTTATTTGTACCCCGCTAGCATCTCCCGAAGGACTCGATGCGGCTTACAAAGGCCAAGGCCTTGATAAAACAACAATATAATTTTCTGCTTTAAGTGGATTATATGAGTCCACACTGCCAAATAATCTGGGATAAACAGAAAAGCAGGAACTGATGGAACGGAATGGACATTCGGAACTCTGAACACTGAGCATGAGATTGTTTACTAGTACATTATGTATTGATGTTTTTAATCTGTTAATTTGTTTAAATTGTTTTATGTATGTTTGTATAATTGACATAGGCATCGAATTGTGCCTTCGTTGTAAGCCGCCCTGAGTCCCCCCTCGGGGGTGAGAAGGGGGGGGGGTAGAAGTAACTGAAATAAATAAATAAATAAATAAATAAAAACCTGGAATCAGATCCCGGGATATAGGACTTGCCCGGAAGGGCCTTGGATTAAATGGCTGTGTGGAAGGACCCTTGGATTATCCTTTGGAAAAGGTTGGGTGACAAAAAACCAAACGGTTTGTGCAATCGTGTGATCTTTTAAAATTCAATCAAGGTCAAATATGCATTTATTTATTATTTATTTCATGAATTTCTTCGGATGCTATTAATAATAAAGCAATTCTTTCAGCTGATGTAATACGAAATGGGAATTAAAAAAAACTAGAACATGGCAGTGCCGTAGGATTTTAATCCAACATTTCATAGTATCCAACATATTGGTCTATCCCAGGAGTCCTCAAACTAAGGCCCAAGGGCCGAATACGACCCTCCAAGGTAATTTACCCGGCCCTCGCTAAGGGTCAACCTAAGTGTGAAATGACTTGAAAGCACACAACAACAACAACAACAACAATCCTATCTCATCAGCCAAAAGCAGGCCCACACTTCCCATTGAAATACTAATAAGTTTATATTTGTTAAAATTGTTCTTCATTTTAATTATTGTATTATTTTAAGTGTTTTTTGCACTACAAATAAGATATGTGCAGTGTGCATAGGAATTCATTCATTTTTTTTCAAATTATAATCCGGCCCTCCAACAGTTTGAGGGACTGTGACCTGGCCCTCTGTTTATAAAGTTTGTGGACCCCTGGTCTATCCAATCATTCAAACCATTTGTTTATCTCTGCTGCTTTTTGGCTAAGAGCTATTTCGCTACCATTTTTTGTGTCCCTCTTTAACACTTTTTCCAATGAAATTTCTCAATGCTGACGTTTCCAGAACAAATCAATACTGGACGTTGGATAAATTCAGATTAACACATCCACAGAGACACTCTGTCCATTAGGATGAAGATTTCCTTGTTCTCTTGATTTAAAAACATGTGGCTATGAGTTAGCTTTGCTTCTACTACCAAAACACCCGCACAAATTTTACAATATTTTTAAGCCGGTGGGGGGGGGGGGGGGAGAGAGAGGAGACTTATCCTATTGATATCAAGGCAGGCCCATAGCCAGGATTTTGATTTTCAGGGGGGGTTGGGGGGCTGAGTTTTGGGGGGGCTGAGTCTGAGTGAAAGAGGGTCTACCCTAGCAAACCTTTTGTATCATTACCCCAATACCCCCATGCATATGGGATATATTGAGTATGGTGATCAGATCATGATATGAATAAACATAACCGTTTAAATAATGCACCAGTAAGGCCTTTTTGCGAACCACCATGAGAATTTGGGGGGGGGGGCTGAAGCCCCTCAAGCCCCCCCCCCCCCCCCCCCCCCCCCCCCCCCCCCCCGGGCTACATGCCTGTACCAAGGGTAAAACTGGTGAGAATTTTCCATTTGCTAATCACTTGATTATGGATGACATTATTAAAAACACAAAAAAGTAGCCAAAATTGGCGTGTTAAGAAGATCTTTCGGCATAAGTTTGCAATACTAAATGCACCATTCAATGAACACTTACTTCTATTATCCTATGTATAAGACTATGTTGTTAGTTTCTACCCTACTTTTTTTTAATGCTATCTTATCTTGCAAGTCTATAAACACTTACTAAGGGCCCTTCCACACAGCCATATATCCCAGAATATCAAGGCAGCAAATCCCACATTACCTGCTTTGAACTGGAATATTCGGCAATGTGGATTCCGATAACCCAGTTCAAAGCAGATACTGTGGAATTTTCTTCCTAGATATTCTGGGTTACATGGCTGTGTGGAAGGGCCCTTACATGTAAACTCCACTGGACACCATAAGACTTCATAAATGTAAATATAACGGTCCTTTTGGAAGCATTAAAAAGTTCAGTGTGCTTCTTACAGAAGAAAAACCAAGGTGTATTCTACTAAAGAAGGACTTGTTTAGTAGAATACAAACACAGACAAACCAAAAAGAAAACTGGCTCTTTAAAAGAAATCCCTCAACTCAAGAACTAATCTTAGTTTAAGGGTTTTACAGGGAACAGAGTTCCTTTATGTTCTCCTACTGGGTTTGATCCACCATGCTTTTAAATTTTATTTCCAGCACTAACTACATTTCAATGAAAACGACAGTGATACAACTATTTTTGCCTTTTTGTTTTTTTGGTTTTTTTGTGGGGAGGTTGTGTCAAGAGTGACTTGAGAAACTACAAGTCACTTCTGGTGTGAGAAAATTGGCCGTCTGCAGGACGTTGCACAGGGGATGTAAGGTTGTTTTGATGTTTTACCATCCTTTATTTATTTAGAAGTTTTCTATACCGGCCTTCTCACCTCAAACGAGGGACTCAGGTCGGTTTACAGCATATATGCAATACAATAATATATAAGTACAACATATATCCTTGTGGGAGGCTTCTCTCACGTCCCCGCATGGCAAGCTGGAGCTGACAGAGGGAGCTCATCCACACTCCCCCAGATTCAAACCTGCAACCTGTCGGTCTTCAGTCCTGCTGGCACAAGGGTTTAACCAATTGTGCCACCGAGGACTCTTTCTCCTTCCTGTGTTCTCACGAGAATGAGAAGAAATTGTACTTTCTCCTCTTAGTCATACTTTATTACTAGCAGCATAGCAATTGGAATGAAACTCATAAAATGTAGTACATTCTTCTTTATATAGATGCATACCTCAGTCCTAGGCCTGTTTATTCAGATGAAAGCCAAACAGAGCTGGATGAGCATGCTTATGCTCATGCCGCACAGAAATTTTGCGAAAAGAAAAAGAGAGAGAGAATCCACACCACAACCACCTGTAACAGGGGTCTCCAAACTAAAGCCTGCAAGCGAAATGCATCCCTCCAAAGTAATTTGGATTGTTTTTTCATGTGATTTTTTGCACTATGAATAAGATATGTGCAATGTGCATAGGAATTTGTTCATGTCATTTTCAAGCTATAGTCCAGTGCCACAATAGTCTGAGGGACTCCAAACCGGCCTTCAACTTAAGAAGTTTGTGGATCCCTGATCTACAGAGTCTATGCCAGGGGTCCTCAAACTAAGGTTCAGGGGCCGGATATGGCCCTCAAGGTCATTTACCCGGCCCTCGCTCAGGGTCAACCTAAGTCTGAAACTACTTGAAAGCACACAACAACAACAACTACTACTACAACAACAATCCTATCTCATCAGCCAAAAGCAGGCCCACACTTCCTACTGAAATACTAATAAATTTACATTTGTTTAAATTGTGCTTCATTTTAATTATTGTACTGTTTTAAGTGTTTTTTGCACTACAAATAAGGTATGTGCAGTGTACATAGGAATTCATTCATGTTTTTTTTTTCAAATTATAATCCGGCCCTCCAATAGTTTGAGGGACTGTGACGTGGCCCTCTGTTTAAAAAGTTTGAGGACCCTTGGTCTATGGTATGCAGAATTTACATATGCAAAAATGAGTAACCGTGTTGACTGTACATAATAATAATAATAATAATAATAATAATAATAATAATCCTTTATTTGTACCCCGCTACCATCTCCCGAACGACTCGGTGCGGCTTACAAGAGGCTGAGCCCAAATACAATCCAAATATACACACTTTCAAATGCTCTGTGCAAAGTCTGGGTGTCATTTATTTTTGTAGTTATAACGTGAGTCTCCATCTCTAAATACTTAAATAGTTACATCGTAAATCTGTTATGTGTTTTTAGAATTTTATTGTTTTGCTTGATGTTTTATTATTTGCTTATGAGTTTTACTGTTATATTTGTATGTTGTTGTTGTTGGTGGCCTTGGCCTTTGTAAGCCGCATCAAATCCTTCGGGAGATTTTGCGGGGTATAAATAAAGTTAATAATAATAATAAATAGTAATGTGTGTTTAAATGCAGAGCCATCAGCAGAGTGAGGCACCTGCTTCAGGCAACAGATATTAAGTATCATGAAAAAACTAAGTTTTGCCTCCTGTGTCATAAGGACATTATAAATCAGGGGTCCTCAAACTTTTTAAACAGAGGGC